TTGATATTTTTTTTTTTGTTTTGTTACAAAACTTTCATTTAACATACATGTTTTAAAAAATAGTTTTTGTTTCGAAAACAAATGAACTTTACCTTAAATTAGAAAGTACAAGATCAAGAAAATAATCATCCATACTATAATGATATCCATTAATACTAGGACGCTTAGTAGTAGTAGTTGGACGTCTGGTAGTAGTTGTAGTTGGACGTTTTGTAGTAGTTGTAGTCGGACGACTGGTTGTAGTTGTAGTTGGACGTCTGGTAGTAGTTGTAGTTGGACGTTTTGTAGTAGTCGTAGTTGGACGACGAATTGTAGTAGTTATAGTTGGAAAACTGGTTGTAGTATTTGGACTAATAGTAACCGGATTCATCGTAGTAGTGTAAAAAATTTTTGCCTTCTTCCCTAGTGAATAAAGATACATTGATCCATCGGACCAATATCGTTTTCCCTCGGGGATCATTGGCAGWAAATCTCGTCCCAAAAGTCTTGATAGCCCTTTACACTGGTCTACATTAAATTTCTCTCCTATTACCGGCTTGCTAATCACCATCCGGATTGTTCTCAGTTTCCTTGCGTCTTCATCAAACATATCGTACAACTGTAGACAGAAAGTGAAATATTCAGATAAAAAAAAAGAAAATGAATTAATTATAACTTATAAGTTATAACTGTTGATTAAACAACGTTGATAGGAAATCTATCATCGTATCTGATGCTCTTAGGATCGAATAGGCAACTTAAAGATTGCTTGTCGATTTACACGTTGCAGAGCGTGGAGCGGTATCAGAAGTGACGACGGCCACAATAGGAAAGACGAATGTAATACGGAGAAGCAGAAGCAACAAAGGGATATACGATGGTACAGATTATATTATGATTATATGGGTCCGTGTGGTTGATCCAGTCTGGTACAATGRTCACTGTGTACAATACAATTTATTGGGGTGCACTTAAAATTAACTTAACAACTAAGACAGGTAGAAATGACGGTTGACTTGACTCATAAATAAAGCCCATGGACGACTGTTTTGGCGTCTCGCACACCCACTACGAATTATGGTATGTTCCCTCCCACCCCCCTCTCAAATACCAAAATGTCAGAGGGCAAGTGTCCTCTCTCCTTTCCGCCATAATTACACAAATGAAGAATACAATTACCAGAAAAGGACAATGACTATAAACATTTTGAATTACCTACCAATATTTACATAATTAGTTTAACAACGATGACGTTTTGTTTATATATTAACCTGTACATTTCAAWGTAATGTCAAGAGTGATATTGGTAAAATCCGAGCCGTGTTCATAATTATTGCGATTTAGACCTATTATTTATTTTTAATTATCACTATAAACTAA